CTCCCCACCTACACTCACCTTTACTGGCTCCATCCCCGCCTCTTCGACCTGTCTGTTTCCTCTCCACCTATCCTCTCCTCTATCCATCTTCTATCCGCCTCCCACTCACTCCCTATTTATTTCAGAACCCCCTTCCCCTCCCCCATTTCTGATGAAGTGTCTAGGCCTGAAACGTCAGCCTTTCTGCTCCTATGATGCTGCTTGGCCTGCTGTGCTCATCCAGCTCTGCACCTTGTTGTCTAGGAGTCTGCTGGCTCCTAGTTTGAGACTGGGAAAGCTGTAAGGGCCCACTGTTTGCCATCCAGGCAATGATAACGCCACCACAATTTAATATGCTTCTCTTTCGCCATCTCCCCTGAAGGCAGTCACACTTGCTGAGAAATGCAAAGAGAGGCACTGTTCCCTCCAACAGAGCAGTTTACTGTGCATGATCCTAGACAAAAGTGCCAGAAGCCTATTCAAATGTGAGGCTATCAATTTTAAGCCAAGTTCGGTCCTGGTACAATATTCACAAGTGTCTGCGATCAACCTCAGATCTTTATCCCTCCCAATTTCTAATTCATTGCACTGCCCATGTAGCAGCCATTGGTTCTCTGCCACTCCGCCAGCAGATATCGCATGTGCAGCTAAACCAAGTCTGCACTCACCATGTGGCCAATTTGCTGCCATCACCCTCTTTTGCTGTAGTGACCTACAAGGTCTAGTGCAGTGGAGAGAAACCCACTCACTGATCTAATTGGAAGAGTCTCTTGTATTTAATGGGAAATAGTTCATTGCAAGTTGGCAACAAGTTGCATGTTGAATTGATATGATAGACTGTGTCACAAAGATTATGTGGAGGGCCTGGATATTGTTTCTTACTCCTTTCAGGTCGTTGTATCATAGAATCTCTACAGTGCATAAGGAGACCATTTGGCCCATCGAATCCACAGTAACTCTCTGAAGAGCATCCCACCGAGACCCAGCACCCCTACCTTATCCCCGTAACCCCACATTTCCCATGGTTAATCCACCTAGCCTGCACATTCCTGAACACAATCGACAATTTTTTTTTTAGCATAGCCAATCCACCTAACCTGTACATATTTGTGACTGTGGGAGGAAACCCACACAGACATGGGAAGAACATGCACACTCCACATAGACAGTCACTCAAGGCTGGAATCGAACCCGCGTCCCTGGCGCTGTGAGGCAGCAGTGCTAGCCACCATTTCACTCCTACGCTGTTCTCCCACCAAATCTGCCTGATATTTGAAAGATCACTTATAGGATGTGGACACTGCAGGCTTGACCAGCATTTATTTCCCATCCCTAGATGTTGTTGGAAAAAGTGGTGGTGAACTGCCTTCTCGAACTGCTAATCTATTTGGTGTAAGAGGATCCACAATGCTGTTGGGGAGTGAAATCAAGGATTTTGACCTAGCGATGATGTCATCATTGCTGCTGGTGCTTGGGGCATGCATCAGTATTAATCCTTTCAGATCCTTTGCCCGCCTAATACAACACTCCCTCCCCACTCCACCTCGATGTGTCAGCTTTTGAGTCCTCTTCCTCTCTATAAGCTAAACTCCCGGCTGGGAGGTATTCTGGAGCCATTGCGTCTCATCTCTGACCCAGTGAGAAGTTCATTTCCCTCTGGATATTACTGCACTTCTTTGGTCCAGTGGCTGCGAATGGTGCTGTGTATGTCGTTTGAAGTACTTGCAGTTATAGTTTGGTGACGTAGTAGCTCAGAAAAGGCAGGCAATGGGAAAATATTTTCAGAAGTAAAAGAAACAAATTATTAATTGTTTGCAGACTATGTTTGCCAGCTTGACTGATCTGGATTAGTGAATACTTTTTCCTCTGGGATGAGTGTTGCATGTTAACCATTACGTTTTTTTCAACTTTGTTTACAGCTGTTTGCTCCTTTGGATGTGGTAACGGTTATTGCATTGCACCCAACCTCTGTTTTTGCCGAGGAAGACAAGAAGGAAACTCCTGCACAGGTAACCATGGCAGCTATCGGCTGCTTTTGTGTTTATGTAACCGTACATAGGCTTCACTTAGGAGGGAGGACGTTTTTTTGTATAAGATGGATTGTCACTGATTTATTGAAAGGTGGAAAGTTCTCTCCCTAATGAAAGGGGAATTTGCCATGTGGGTTAATTTGGGTATTTCAAATGGAATTTTTAACTGTTTAAATCAGAAGCAGGAGTCAGAATAGACCTTACAGGCCCTGGAGCGTCTTCAATAAGGTCATGTCTGAATTTCTACGTCAACTCCACTTTCCCACACCATGCCAACATCCCTTGATTTACTTAGTACCCAAAATTCTAGCAGTGTCTGACCTACACATGCTCAAGGTGGAGACTCCTCAACCTTCTGGGATAGACAGTTTCAAAAGTTCACAGGTCCCAGAGTGAAGACATTTCTCTTTATCTCCACCCTAAAGGAGCAACAGTTTATCCTGCAACAATGGTCCCCAGTTAGGGGAAACAGCCCTTCAGAATCTACCCTGTCAATTTAAACACCCGTCTTCTCTAACCTCGAGAACACATATTTTCTACTCAATATTGGAGGAAAATACCTGAATACATAACATTTTGATATTTCTCTGGTTGTTCTTTTAATTTCAGATGATGGAAGGTCCGGTCACCTTCTAAGTGATAGTTTATTAAACCACTCGGACATTGATGGTAAGTGGGAATAAACCTTGTACACATCCAAACTTGTAGAACTGTACCAACTGAATGCTTGTCACTTATTGGAGCTGGTACAGTTATGAAGACCCATGGACACACTGCTTCCAGCTAAGGCTTCAAACACAATTATATCCACGAATTGCAGAGTGTTTTAAAAATTGCTAGTGACAATATCATTGGGAATCACCATCTTTGCGTACCAATGCCACAGATTAACTTTGAAGAAGGCAAAGTAATTTTGTCTTTGAGGTGACTGCACAAGACTGTGAAAAGAGTTGGCAAAATTAATCAAGCTGAGCTGCTCTGTATAGTGGAGAGTCAAAAGGGACACAAGTTTAAAGTTATGAATAAGAAAGGAGAATTTCCGAGCCAGGTGGTAATAAAGACACAAAACAATCTGTGATATAGAGTTGGGGAGTTGGTTCTTAAACCTGTGACCATTATGAATATTATCGTCTCTTACAAATCATCTATCAGTATGACATGGATACTATCACTATTTGTTCAACATCATTGTGCCAAAATCCTGGAATTCCTTATCTAACAACACCGTGGTGACACCTCCACCAGATATACTGTAGCAGTGCACAAAAAAACCACCAACTTCCCAAGGGCAATTATGGACAGGAAACAGTGGCTACATTTAAGAATGAATTGCAAAGGATAGGATGCAACACTGTGAGGCCCTAGTATCCATCCTTTAGGTAATCCACGGCAGGCATTCTGATTGAATGAAATAGCCAAAGCAGTTTATGAAGAGAGTTGGAAAAGTTCAGCAGGTCTGGCAGCATCTGTGAAGAAAAGAATCAGAGTTAATGTTTCGGGTCCTGTGACCATTTGTCAGAACATGGAAGGGTCTGAGGAAGGGTCACCGGACCTGAAACGTTAACTCTGGTTGCTTTTCCAGCAACTTCTGTTTTTGTTCCTGATTTACAGCATCTGCAGTTCTTTCGGTTTTTATGAAGAGGGTTTTCTGTTCCAGTTTTTGAAGTCTGTAATTGATTGAGAAAAAGTATGTTTGATTTTTATTAGTCTTTGCTGAAAGAAGCACAAATATGAAATGCACGCTTGGATGTATTGCTCTTCACATACTGGAGCTCTGTCAAAGCAATTCACAAACAACAAATAATTATTCAAATGCTTGGGCTGGATTTTGTAGGGAAATACAATGACCAATTATGTACAGGAAAATCCCACACATAACAAATGAGATTTGTGAGCATGTGGTTGTTTATTTCATGTTATTGATTGAAGGATTAATTACTTTGGGTCCCAAGATAATTGTCAGATTTTCTTCATAGAATCAAAAATTAAAACAGATGGAGAAAATTTGGAAGCATCTGTGGAGAGAAAGCAGAGTCAATGTTTTGGGCCTTGTGACTCTTTTTTTTTTAAGAACTGTAGCTAGATTGGTGCCCAGTCTGCTTTGTGGAAAACCTATGTTCTGTCCACAAACATGACCTTGAGCTTCTGGTCACCTGTGACTTCAACACACTGCCGTGTTCCCTGGCCAATATCTGTGCCTCGGGCTTGCTGAAGCTCAACGCAAGCTGGAAGAACAGCAGCTCATTTTCCACTTGGGGACCCTGCAGCCTTTAAGACTCAATATCGACTTTGACAGTTGTAGGGCCTGATCATCTTCTCCCATGTCCTTAGCCCAGGCCCCACACACCAGGCCTTGTCGTCATATGGGCTGCTACCACACACAACCCATTGTCAGGTAATGGTCCCCATTAGCAGCTCTTTATTCTCCCAGGCTGACATTTATCCATTCCTTTGTCTGCCCAACTGTTTTTTGCTCTCTCTCTGGACTCCTTGTCCTAGCTACAATCCGTTCTGAAGGAGGGTCACCGGACCCGAAGCGTTGACTCTGCTTTCTCTCTATGTGCTACCAGACCTGTTGAGTTTCTCCAGCAATTTCTGTTTTTGTTTCAGATTTACAGCATATACAGCTCCTAGTTTTTTTAACTTCTGTGCAGAATATCTTTCTGTGCAGAATACCTTGTTGAACTTTAATACCCACCTGAATAGGTAGATGAGGTTCAATGCCTTATCTGACAGATGATTATTTCTGCAACAATACAGCTCTGAGGAAGGGTCACCAGACCCGAAACGTTAACTCTGTCTTTTCTTTCACAGATGCTACCAGGCCTGCTGAGCTTTTCCAGCAACTTTGTTGTTGTTGTTGTAGCTCTTCCTTAGTCCTGTCTTGGATTTCAGGTCATGTGTGCTCAGATCCTGCAGTGGGGTATGATGATACAGTCTCTGATTCCTAAATTGAATACAACATAGAACAGTACAGCACAGTACAAGCCCTTTGGCCCACAATGTTGTGCCGAACTTTTACCCTAAACCTAAGGTCTATTTAACCTCCACCCCTATCTTATACTATCATCCATATGCCTATCTAATAGCTGCTTAAATGCCCCTAATGAGGCTGACTCCACGACCCTCTCTGGCAATGCATTCCACGCCCCTACCACTCTCTGAGTAAAGAACCTACCTCTGACGTCTCCCCTATATCTACCTCCACTCACTTTAAAACTATGCCCCCTTGTAATAGCTACCTCCACCTTAGGAAAAAGTCTCTGGCTATCCACTCTATCTATACCTCTGATCATTTTGTACACCTCTATCAAGTCACCTTTCATCCTTCGTCATTCGAAAGAGAAAAGCCCTAGCTCTCTCAATCTTTCCTTGTAAGACCTTCCCTCCATTCCAGGCAACATCCTGGTAAATCTCCTCTGCACCTGTTCCGACGCTTCCACATCTTTCCTGTAATGAGGTGACCAGAACTGGACACAATACTCCAGGTGTGGAACCAGAGTTTTGTGTAGCTGGAGCATAACTTCACGGCTCTTGAACTCAATTCCTCTATTAATGAAAGCTAACACACCATACGCCTTCTTAACAACTCTGTCCACCTGGGTGGCAGCTTTCAGGGAACTGTGGACATGAACCCCAAGATCCCTCTGCCCCTCCACACTCCCAAGACTCTTTCCGTTAACCCTGTATTCTGCTTTCAAATTTGTCGTTCCAAAATGAATCACCTCACACTTTTCAGGGTTAAACTCCAACTGCCACTTCTCAGCCCAGCTCTGCATCCTACCAATGTCCCTTTGTAACTAGAACAGCCCTCCGCACTTTCCACAACTCGACCCACGTTTGTATCGTCCGCGAACTTACTAATCCACCCTTCCACTCCTTCATCCAAATCATTTACAAAAATCACAAATAGAAGAGGACCCAGAACAGATCCTTGTGGTACACCACTCGTAACTGAGCACCATGTTGAATATTTTCCATCCACTACCACCCTTTGTCTTCTAAGGTTCAGCCAATTCTGAATCCAATCTGCCACATTTCCCCCTATCCCATGCCTCCTTACTTTCTGCATGAGCCTACCACGGGGAACCTTATCAAACGCCTTACTTAAATCCATGTATACCACATCCACTGCTCTACCTTCATCCACGTGTTTGGTCATCTCTTCAAAGAAGTCAATAAGGTTTGTGAGGCATGATCTACCCCTCACAAATTCATGCTGACTATCACAAATCAAACTGTGCCTATCCAAGTGATCATAAATCCTATCTCTCAGAGCCCTTTCCAATAATTTGCCCACCACTGACGTAAGACTAACTGGCCTGTAATTTCTGGGGTTATCCCTATTCCCTTTTTTGAACAAGGGAATGATGTTTACCATTCTCCAATCTTCCGGCACTATACCTGTGGACAGTGAGGACGAAAAGATCATTGCCAAAGGCCCTGCGATCTCTTCCCTTGCTTCCCATAGAATCCTTGGATAAATCCCATCAGGCCCGGGGGACTTATCTATCTTCAAGTTCCTCAAAATGTTTGGTACATCTTCCTTACTAACATCCACCTCCTCTAGCCTACCGGCCTGTTTCACACTGTCCTCCTCTACAACTAGGTCCTTCTCAGTTGTGAATACAGAAGAAAATGACCTCTCCTACCTCTTTAGGCTCCGTACACGAATTCCCTTTACAACCCTTGATCAGCCCTACCCTTTCTCTAGTCATTCTCTTATTCCTCATGTACGTGTAAAAAGCCTTGGGGTTTTCCTTGATCTTATCTACCAAGGTTTTCTCATGCCCCCTTATAGCTCTCCTAACCCTTTCTTAATCTCCTTCCTGGCTAACTTGTATCCCTCTAGAGCCTTTTCCGATCCTTTTTTCCTAAACTTTATATAAGCATCCTTCTTCCTCTTAACCAGTCGTTTGACCTCTCTTGAGAACCAAGGCTCCCTCATTCGACCACATCTTCCCTGCCTGCTAGGGACAAACATATCGAGCACACGCAGTATGCATTCCTTAAACAATTTCCACATTTCTATCGTGCTCTTCCCTGACAGCATCTGTTCCCATTTTTTGTAACCCAGTTCTTGCCTAACAGAATTATAATTACCCTTCCCCCAATTATAAACCTTACCCTGCTATATGTACCTACCCTTTTCCATGACTATTGTAAAAGTAACAGAGTTATGATTGCTATCGCCAAAATGCTCTCCTACCAACAGGTCTAACACTTGGCTCAGTTCATTGCCAAGCACCAAATCCAAAGTGGCCTCTCCTCGTGTTGGTCTATCTACATTCTGTGTCAGGAATCCTTCCTGAATGCACTGGACAAAACTCGCTCCATCTAAACTATTACAACTAAAAAGTTTCCAATCAATATTTGGAAAGTTGAAGTCACCTATGACTACAACCCTGTGACTTCTGCACCTTTCCAGTATCTGCCTCCCAATCTGCTCCTCTACTTTTCTGCAACTATTAGGTGGTCTGTAAAAAGCTCCCAACAAAATGACTGCTCCTTTCTTGTTCTGGACCTCAACCCAAACTGACTCTGTAGACATATCATTCTCGAACTGCCTTTCAGAAGCCCTGACTAGTAATGCCGCTCCCCCGCCTCTTTTACCACCCTCACCATTTCTTTTAAAGCATCTAAATCCCGGAACTTCCAACAACCATTCC